CCCCAAAACCCCAAAACCCCAAAACCCCGAACAAGAGAGTGTTATGAAAATGATATATGCCAGATGCATTAGATTTTATTTAATTAAAATAAGTTAAATCTTAAAAACTATGGAAAGTCAAGACCTACTCAAATTTGTGAATCAGATTTTCGCTAAGAAGGGTATTCCACCCGTTAAGAATCTTGCTCAAGACTTCTCAGATGGAAGTAAAATATTTAAGCTAATTTACACATTATTACATAGTACTTTATGAAAAGCTGTTCAATATCTTATATGATGAAAGAGCTGATTGCAAGCTAGTGAAGTCCCCATAACTCGACGTTAAGATGTAAAACTGGAATAAGATCAACGCTACCATATGCTTCAATTATCTTCAATAGTAGTTCTATTTAGTTGCTCCAACTATGAAGGCCTTGGCTCAAGGAAAGAAATAAGAGGTGATTCAGACTATGATTAAGCATTTGATTAACAGCACCTAGGGTACTCAATTTGAAAGCTATCTAAGTGATGATGCTATCAGAGATATTGCAGATGTAGTCCAAACTGACATGGAACTCTACAATGAAGAAGAAGCCTCATAGTTGAATTAATCTCATGCTGTTTAAGTGCAAGGAGAGAAGCAAGTTAAACTCGAAGAGTCTGACATTGAACATCTTCAAAGAAGTGCTGAGAGAAAGAAGAGAGAAGAGGAAAACGAAAATGACTTCAGCAGAGACATTTGAAGAGTTAAAATTTATTTAATCCTTCGTCTATCGATTGGAATTCTTGAGATTATATCTCAGGCAATGATTTTTGCAAAGCTTATCCTTACTATTTATTATAAGTTTAACAAATTCACCCTCATTATATCCTTAAACTGAATTAGTATCTAGATATAAGTTAAATTTAAAAGAGATTTATGTTTGTGTGCAGATTTTACACAAGTAGTTTATTTATTTATTAGTATGAATTCACTTTAGAGGACTCATTCTTGACCTTCCTAATTGACATTCTATGAATTCTTTCTTTCATCGAAGTTTCTATTACCATAGTCTCCACCTCTATTATATCCTCTGCCTCTGTAGCCATCGTTTTTATATCCATCACCTCTATAGCCACCTCTGCCACTTCTTGGGGCTCCTCTAGCAATTCTGGGACCCCTTCCATCACCATAGGCAGTTGGATGTTGGTCTTTTTCATCTTTCTGGCCTCTCTGAGTTACAACTTAGAATCCACCCTTTGAGATATCTTCTTTGAGTTCAACTATCTCTTAGTTATCAGCAGCATACTCTCTATTATCTCTTCTACCCCTGAAGTCGCCTCCTCTACTAATAGGTTAAATTGCTTTTGAATCTTACTTGTTTCTATAGAAGGCGTTTCCATCGGATCGATCCTCTTCATTACCTTGATAATTACCTCTTCCTCTGTAACCACCTCTGTTTTCTCTAAAGCCACCTCTATCTTCTCTATAGCCTCCTCTGTTATCTCTATAAGCTCCTCTATTTTATTTATATTAGTATTGTCTCTCTTAATTGTCGCCAGTATGCTTCTCCTCCTCTTGACTCTCTCTGACTTAATTTTCTTGAACCTCTTAATCTTAATCAGGTGCTTGATCTTTTTAATATCTATAATCCCTCTTTTGATAAGGCTTATCATAGCCACCTCTTTACTCTCTTTACTCATAATTGCCTCTACCTCTATAATTGTAGTTATTATTGTAACCACCTCTGTTTCCTCTGAAATTACCACCTCTTCCGCGATAATTACCTCCTCTTCCTCTGTACTCTCCTCTATCATAGTAGGTTTTATTTTAAAATGCTTGATGCTCTGCTTTATCTACTAATACATCTTCTTGCTCAGGCTCTTGTTTATCCTTTTGCTCGACCTATTATGCAGATGGTTCATCACCTTGAACCTTTACTGGTTGTTCTTCTTCCTCATCATAATCATCCTCATGTTGATCCTCATCTTATTTCAATCCTTCTCCAAATCTTCTCTCGCCGATCTCATCATTTTCGTCCTCATCATCCTCATCACCATCATCGTTCCAGTCTTGCAACAAAAGATTCTTCTTGACATCAGCAACTTACTCAATGGCACCTGGTTGTCTCATGGGACTCTTGCTCATATCTTTCTTGGGTGATTGATTCTAGACGTTCAAATGATGAGACTCTCTTTGAGGACTTATATTCTGTTGATTAGAATTTGTCTAAGCTTCAACAGTTGTTTGTGACTGGACTTATTAGTTTTAAGATACAGTTTCTCTAGATTATTCTTAATTTTAAACTTAGGGATTTGCTTAAACTTAAGTAGGTAGGATGAAATTTTGAGTTGGCAGCTGAATCTGTGATAGCATGGGACTAGCAGATTGAATTTGAGTTTGAAGCATCATTGGAAGATACATCAATTAAAGAATCGGTGCCTCCTTGAGTTCTTTGTTTGAAATAACTCTCTAAATAATTTTCTTCATATCGGAATGTGAAACATCCTCATTAACTGAAGATATCTTTGAGTCTAGTTAGTCTGTGGCTATTTTGGTCAATTCATCGGTGGCTCTCTTGATTCTGGCTTCGAAAGTCAAATCTTAAGGATTGATCGAGATGTTGGTCATATGTCTAAAGAACAAATTAAGATCCTAAACCAACTCCTAATCCTTCAGTTGAGTCTACGAGTACCATTGCAAACCTTGAATGTTAGAGCTAATGACATAGAAAGCAACTGCTAACTTGACTGATTCTTCTACACTAGTGTGATCCTTTACCAATAATTTAACTTATTGGATTGGCTCATGCACTCTGCTTTGAGAATTGCCCTGGCTAGTTTGCTAAGATTATTACTTTGGCTGCTGTTAGATTGAATATTCAACGACATTTGCTTCATTGTCTAATGCTGATTTTTGTTGTTGCTCCAACTAAACTTCCGCGACATTCTAAACTTGAGTCATTGTTGCCTCTTGCTTATTACCTGCTTCAATATCTTATGGCTTATCCTACTGTTAAGTTGATTTTTCAACTTCTTGTCTGTAGAGGTCCAAGATTTCTAGATAATACTTGACACTCTGACTTAGACTCTCTTTTTGCGAGAGTTTTTCTCTCTAGTCTTCATTGATCTTTTTACCCTGACTGATTTTCTCCTCGATCTAGGCTATGATTTCTAGCTTCTTACCCTTGTTTCTTACTAGCTTGTAAGCTTCCTTGGTGAAGTTGTTGTAGTTCACGATTTGCTCAGTGAAGACTTCCTTGATTTTTTACTGCATTTGATTTCGATTGTTTGTTAGAGATTCTTGCTCTTTAAGAGATTTTAAATTAATATTTATTAGAAAAGATATTCAAATATTAACAATTTTTCTTGATAGAATTTACATTATGGGGTTTTGGGGTTTTGGGGTTTTGGGGTTTTGGGG